TGATGATTAATGCATGCTATAACTTTTCATCAGTTAAACAGCAAAGCCTATGGCATTAGCCATGTAATAGCAAATCCCGGGAAAGATTTTCTGTCATTAGCCATAACAAGTCATCTTCAACAAACAATTGATGCACATTTGCTCTAAGATTCTGAAAGAAACAAAATGACATTGATGTGATGGTACTGCATACACTGGTATAGAAATGAGGAGGTTTCACTGCCTTCCTGACAGGAGCAGTACAAATACATGTGCTGAGCAGAGTTGCCATGATGTTGCTCTGTCCTAGCATTTCCTTCAATTTTAATCACACTGATGGCATCTAATAATTTCAGAGGCTTTTTTAAAATCCTTGTATCTCTTGTGCCACTACTCCAAAAAGTGTATGCAAATCTGAAAATGTTATTCTAAATTTTGGGGAAAGCTGTCTTAAAAATCAAAGCAGGTCACACCAGTAAGCCTTTAGGATATTTTCTCATCTTCACTTTATCCTTAAATCTCAGCATTTATGTCAGAAACGTCATTCTGTGGTGTTCAAAAAATACCTGAATTAATAATTTTATTTCTCTCTAGCCTATTTTGCCTTCCTCATTGGATGACTGTCCAGTCTGGATAGCTGTGAATGAAGATGGTATCAGCATACTGGATTATAGCACAATGGTATGTTGAGGAACACTGTTTCAGAGGAATACCTTACCAAGCACAGAAAGACATTCCCCTGAGTCCAGTGAAAGTCACTAACAGTTTGTCTTTAACTTCAAATGTGAATTATTATTAGAAGTTAGTTTGTAAAAGTTAGAGATGAGGGAAGTCAATGTTATGTTTGAACACACCATAGACAAAGGAAAATTACAGCTGCAGTGTAACATAGTGCAGCAAACATGTTTATACATCTTGCAAAATCTCAGTGGTGTGTGCTTTACTATTGCCATCTGGAATATAACAAAATCTGTACTGTGAAGTAGTGAAGCATCAAGCACACCAGGAGAAAACTAGAAATGCAATTCTCACTTGAGCTTTCTCTGCCAGCTCTTACCTATAGAACTATCTACTGCCCTTCAGTGCTGGAGACCTGGTGTTCTTACAGGAAGTGGCAACATAAACGAAGATATTAGTTTAAGGTAGACATTTGGAGTTTTTGACATAACTATGACTTTTTCAAACTCTCTGTCTGCAGCATTTGAAGGTCTCTTATTCATACTCTTCTGTGCTGACCTTTGGAGGCTGTCGAGATGATTTCATGATTGTAGTCAGTAAAATGAAAGAAAGAAGCTCTGGAAAAAATAGCACTGAAAAACTGCTCTTCACAATGGCAATTCCAAAGGTAATTACAAATGAAAAGTGAGTTTCTTTCCAGCTGGCAGCATCAGGGCGGGGTGTTTTGTTTGTACAAGCCCTGGGGACTGGTACTTGTAGCTGCTGCACTAGCTGTATGTATTCAACAGATCTTTGTAAGCTGGAACCTTTCAACAAGAGACTTATTCTTCCTAACTCTTAAAGACAGGGCTGCATTTTAAAACTGAACAATTCCATGGGAGAAAGCCATTTTAAAAAGCCATGCAGTCAGTAGATTCTAAAAATCAAGGACATTCTTACCTCTAATTGACTTACAGTTAATAATTTTCTCTTTTCCCCAGATTGTTGAAGCAACACTTCTGATTGCCAGCTATATTAACTATCGTTCGACTCCTTCACTGCTGTCGTCCACACAGCCCTCACAAAGCAAAACACCTGCTAAGAAGCCCTGGGAGACTGAAAATCGGTGCTTTTTTCCTTCCGTGCCCCGAAGCACAAAGGGGCCCACCCTGCTCTAAGGGCTTGTTCCACATGAGCTGATTTTGTTGGTTATATACCACAGATTAATGCAGGCTCTGATTCTTTTTCCATAATAATAGACAAAGTTCCTTAGAGGTAGAGGCAGTGCACCTTCTCTTAAAAAACCCAAAAAGTTGATTTGGGGGACTGTGCAGGAGTTTTCTTTCTGTGACACATTCCATCCAAACTACCATTCCTCAGGTCATTTGCTTGCACAGTGCTCCAGTGATTATATCTGCACTCATTCTTCCATCTCCTACTGTACTGCCTTGCTTTACAAGTACATACATTTTTTTTGATCCCTCCCATTTTCAGCTTTCAAAAGACATAAACTTTTGTGCTCTTGCTCAGACGTGAAAGAAAGACATTGCTAAGAAAGAAGAGGACTTAAACTCTCAAGAATAATTCTGATGCAAGTCAAGGGTGATTTCAGACCTGAAATAGTGAGTATAGAATTAGAGTTCAGCAGTACTTAAGAGTATTTTCAACTTTAAATAAAGGTGGAAGCCAGAGTCTTTTCATGTTGAGGACCCAGAGCAGCTGGGACTGGGACAGTGTCAGAGAATGCCCTGGCACCTACAGGTCTGATGCATTTTGGAAACCGACGCTGTTCTATGCAATAGATGAACATTAGATTGCTGCTGCAGGGCAGGGCTCAGTGTGCCACTTGCTCCATTCTCAGACAAGCACTTTCAAAGACTTCCTGATAACCACTGTTGTAGATGTGTTTGGAACTGCACATTATGTCAGAAAAAGGAAGACAAGACAAGCAATTTTGTATTTTTTCTGTGTTTCAGCAACTAGGACAGATCTTCCCAGACAAGCTCTGCCATTCTGACTTGACAGAAGCTGCTTCTTTTAAACTCCTGCTTCCTTCATGTACCATAAGCAAGAAGGAGGTAGTCAGCAATTGTGTACTCATGTTCTTCTGACTTTCCTAAAGAATGTTGGTAGGTCTGATATTTTTTTATCTGTTTCAAAGGGACTTCATTTTGAGAAGATTGTTGAATTTTAAACACATAGAAGAAAAATATCAATTTTCATAAAAAATCTAAATCTGCTTAGTTTAAGTTCAGCTATTTTGATAAGCATTCTAACAAAAGTTAAGAAAGAATAACTGCACTTTGAAAAGTACCATGTCCAACTACATAATAGTTATGCATTCATGGGCAGCCTTCCCAAATTAAAACAGTGTGAATCCAACCACTAGATAGAAGTCAGTAATAGCAAACCAGTTATTTTCAAATAAACAAACCAACCATACAAGTGTTTTTACTCCCTAGTAAACCTTGACACATCCAACTAATGCAAATGGGGAAGCTGATACATCAAGGCTTTTTTTCGTGCTTATGATGGGTGCAAAGCCACAAACTAAAAGAGAAGAGCACGGGGCAGACAACAATTGTTCTAAGCAATCCCTCATCAGCAACAACAAAATAAAAAAACCCAAACAACCAAACAAAACAAACCCAAGCCCAAACCATCCTATGGTGAGTTATAGAAACAGTATGGCAGACCTAAGACAGGAAAAGATTCTAAGAAAAGTGACCTGATTTGCACATACTGTAATGTACCCCCTTGTTATGAATTTAAAGACCATCCGTTGCAGGCACAGAAAAGGGCAAGACCTTTCTGAGCCAAAAATAACTTTAAGAAGGCATTTAGTAATTTTTGTTTTCCCTTAGATACTTTCCAGTCTCTGTATGTCCTGACAGTAGTTTGTATTTCCCCTCTTTCTCTCACTATTATCTTAGTACAGCTCTATCAGTTAGAATACACAAAATGTTACTCCTCCTCACTCTGTCACCTGTGCCTGACAATTTCTCCTGTATCTGAAGGTCTGTTTGACAGTTTGCTTCTGGTATCCCACCAATAACAAAGCTGCTTCAGAATAGGCTGGAGTCATCATCAGTGCTCAAGGCATAGAAGTCTCCAGTTCGCAGGCTGTATTTCCTCCCATCCTCAGAGACTTGAGACTTGTACCAGGGCAAACAGGAAGCAGAGATGTTAAATAAACAGGAACTCTCCTGAAACTCATTATTTTTTGTCACAGTTGCACTTTAAATTGAGAAGCATGATACACAAAACTTACTTTCTTCCTTATTTCTTAAAAATATTCACCAATACTTGAGTGTTTCAGGGACCACCCCACTCTGATGGATGCACATACCCCTCCTATTTATAGCTTACCTGTCTTCAAACACCCCACCCTGTGCAGATACCTACTTTGTATGATTCTTTGGTAGAGAAAATAATTTTTTATTTTAATCAATGCTTTTGGCAATGACTGTTAATGCAGCATAGAATGAGATGACAAAAGCCTTAGTGTTCCTAACTGCTGTGTGTAAGTAAAAGGCTGTCTGGAAGATACTGTGAGATTTCTGTTTGTTCTTAATAAAATGCAGCTCGTGAATTAATAACCATGAATTAAATGTGTATTAGTCTCTGAATGAAATAAACTATTTTAAAAGCCAAAATATTCTTGATGTAAACAAAAATGAACATAGATTATGTTTGGTACCCAGGCACAAACCAGAGCTGGTACAAACCTGCCCTACACTGATTCCTTGTTTCTCTCTGCTGGTCTTCTCTTAGCTTAAGTGGATGACTACACCATGGGCACGGGATGTTCACTCCTTCAAAAGCTTGCTAAAGCAATCTTTCAGACTTCTTGCTGTGGCACTGCTTCTTGGTAATTTCTTCAGTGCACTTTTTGAGGAGTTCATGGAATTTTTACAGCATAGTCAGCATTCCCAGCACACCCATGAGTCCATGACTCTGTCCACTCTGTTGAGACATCTTTTCTATTCTGACACAAAAGGCAGTGACACATCCCCAGGCTGTTGCCTTTCACTTGGACAACTTCCTGTAACATGAGCTAACCTGTCTTTCAAACTTTGTAGCAGTGTGGAAAAAAACCCACATATCTCCTTATCTCTACCTAATTGCAGGATGGTATGGTGCCGAGTATTTACAGATTATGTGGACAAGCACTGTTCAGTACTGTATGCAAAATAAGCATGAATCCAGACTCCTGCCAACCTGTGGGTTTAGTTTTTGAAACTTCTGTCGCCTCATTTATATTACTAAGGAGTTGTGGAATATAGAGGGAAAAATACCAGTTAAGTGTTACAGCAATTTTTATCTTATCAACAAAGAAGAATTTCCCAAGTTACTGCCAAGAGCACTGATCATTAAAACTTTATTCACATTCTCATTACCATCATTTTCAACAACACATGTACCTCATATTCTCAGTGTAACTGATGTGGCCCTTTAAATGCCACATCTTTTCCATGTCCTGTGTCAACCAGGCCCTGTCTCATTCAGCAATGGGTTCACATTTTCCCAGTGCTCCTTTTGATAATTAAGCACTTACTTGTTGCCCTGTTCTTTTAAAAGTTCTAAAGTTCTTTTTAAAGTTTTCTATGCCTTCTAATGTTTACATATTTCTACTGGAGTTCTCATGCACTCTTCATGTAAATAGCGACTGTTTTACATTCTTCTTTATGAGGAGAACTGATGGACTGTTGATTTGACCAGTGTGGTTGGAGAAGTAGCAATTTCATCCTCCAATCCATTGTCACTTTTAGAATTCTATATATTGCAAAGTCAGAAATAAAACTTCTCTTTTCCTTCTTTTGCATCTTGAGTGAGTGTGTGAGCTATTTCGTGTCGTAGTGCAACACTTACTGAAACCATTCTTGTTGCCTTTGACATCCTTCAACTGATTCATTGCCAGCTGGGCTTTAGCTTTTCTAACTACATCTTGAACAGTGTTGCTACATTCCTCCCAAATTACCTGTCCCTCATTCCACCTTCAATATACTTCCTTTTTGTGTTCAAGCATTGCCAGGACCAGCTTGCTCATCCATGCAGGCTTCCTGGCATTTCTGCTTGACTGCCTTCTCCTTGGGATGGACTGTTCTTGATCTCAAAAGAAACAATCCTTGACTATCAATCAGCTTCCTCAGATCTCTTCTGTTTATTTCATTAAACATTACTGAATGCAACAGTTTAATTTTCTGGTTTTGTCCTCCTGAAATTCTCCTGTCATCAGGAAGTTACTATCTGAACTCACACATCAGCTTTGGTATTTAGAGTGTTTTTCAAACAAAAGGTTAAATAAAAACCAAAGAATGCATACTTATGTTAGTCCAGCCAATGTTATTTTACAATTTTAGCATAATTGTCAGATGCATGAAACAGTAAAAAAAGGATGCATTTTCTTGTCTCCCTTTTCCCTATTTCCCTATACTTCTTTTCTGGAGAGGCAAGAAAAAAACCATTCTGTCTGAACCTAAAAAGTTCTGCTCATAGGGCAGTTTTGCTTGCTCTTTCATGTGTCCCTCTGAGTCCTGCTAAAAGTTTGCTGTCTTTTTTTCAGCTATTTTATTTCATTTGATTGAGGAACTGTCTTCCTCTGCTCCAGGATCTCTTGACAACTTTTGTACACTTCTATCAAGCAGTCCAATCGTGGCTTGGAGCTCTAGAAGTCAAACAACAGAGAATCAGGCTCTGAAATGAAACACCATTTAATTTTACCCAAACAACAAGCAGTGGTCAAAGTATAATGATTTTTCATTCAATTCTAACCTGGACTAGCTTAAAACCAGCAAGGAAGTGCCAGTTTCATGGTCTCACAGTCCCTATGATCCTATAACTTTTGAGCTCCCAAGACATTATTAAAGTCCATCAAATGCCTCCTTGCAAGAGTTGCTTAAGAGAACAAAAGGTCAAATCAGTGCAGTAGGCTTCCTGGGCTGAGTGACATGGGAAATTGTATTTTTGAAGGCTGACATAACTTAAAGAAACCCAATGAAGGAGACACAATAAAGTTACAAATCCTTGCTCCTTCAAAACTAACATACTAACTTGCATGTTAAAATAATTACAGACAGGTACTGAATTTCAAAATGGAAGAGTTCCGTACCTTCTTTCCTGCTGGAGTCAACTCTACCAGTGCTAAGGTTATTTCCATGAAAACAAAACTGTTCAGAGTTGAAAGGTTAAAAAAAAAAAAAAAAAAAAAAAAAAAGAGAGAGAGAAACAATACAGATGCCAGGCAGAGCCTTTGAACCTGGAAAGGAACATACCTAACTAATATCAGGTACTTGAATGCAGCTATCTGGAATTTAGTAGTTGTTGATTTCCCGCAAATCTACTTTTTCCATTGTTTATATGCAAAATATCTAATTTATATTACTGTTACTAAAGATCTTTACAATTGTGAGACTGAGTTAACCATCAAGTGTAAATGGAATAGATTATTTATACTCCTAAGTATTTAGGTGAAGACTGACTGTATCCAGTCACAAACTGTTTGCAGATTACAAAACAGTCACCAGCAGCAGGGAAATAAAGAACAGAGAGTGCTAGGCATGAACACACGTACAAAGCAAATCCATTCCAGAAATGGGATTATGAACAGTCAGAACACATTAGCGAGAGAAGAGAGAGGGGAGACGAGGTTACAGCAACACAAACATCTTATGATACATTAAACAAATTGGTCACAGCTTGTACCATGATCTTTGTCAGCAGGGCAGGCAGGGGTCAGGCAGGGGAAGTCATTCCAATGCCAAGGAGAACTTTTGGTACACAGAGCTAAGAGAAAACTCAACTGCAGCACAGTGCCAGAGTTACGGTGGTAACTCTGTGCACAGGACTGAACAGAAAGCTCTACAAGTCCTCAGCACCCAATGTGAGCTGAAGACTTTTAGTTCATGCAAACTTCTGGCTGGGTTCAGATTGACACAACTCCCTGTTTGTTTGAATGGAGAGCAAATGAAAAAACCCATCCCTAGTATGTAGTTCTGTGAGACTTCAAATGCCACCCACCCTGACAGCCCAGCCAGGGAAAGGCAACTGTCACCAGCTACCTGTAGCAGAATAAAAATACGCTTAGACAACTGATGCAACACAAAGACTAAAATCTGGATTTCTCCACCATTCAGTCAAACTCACTTGAAAGAGTGGCACAACCTCAGATACTCCCTGAGGATCTTCAGGGTCCTGGAGGAGGATACACAGGTAGTAGATAACTTTTTGCTACAAGACAAACAGACAAAAATCATTGGAGTATAAAAATGCTATCAAACTGCCTGGAGTTAGCACAGAAGTAGGATCTGTTTCAACTCACTGGGCTGAAGGCAAATCCTGCCAGGTCACAGTCAAGTCTACAAATTTGTATCAATAGCTATCACTCAATAAAGAAATAACGTTGACTGTCTATTAAGTTTTTAACCTGAAAAGAACACACACATGCTGAAAGGGTACAGGAGCTTTGCAGAAAACCCCAGCAATAGGAAAAATCATTGTGTTGTCATAGCTTCTCATCTCCATCTTGATTACATATGGAGTTGGCATCAGGATTTGAAAGAACAGCATAACACAAAGAATGAAACCCACTAGCTCAATGACAGTGGCATTATCCAAGGAATGGATTTGGCTTTTTGAGGTTGTTTGGTTTGAGTTCTCCTTTAAAGGAGAGAGAGAGACGACAAATTAAGTTGAAAAATCTGAAGCTCCTGATGTCAGTAAAGCTATGGATGGTGCTGTGTTTAATTGCTCTGGTAAATCATGCTCATGAAAATACACTGGATGTGAGTGTGCCCAGACACAAGAAGACAGATTTTGTATGATTACCATATGGATGGCTTCATTGATAACCACATCCTTCACTTGAGCCATCTCAATGAAGGTTGTGCTCTCTTTCCCAGAGGCATAGGAGGAAGTCACCTGAATGCCGAGTGAGCCGATGACCAGCAGGGATTCCTGGTCAATCTTCACGAAGTGCAGGTATATGATCAGGCCAATCAGCGTGATGAAGATGGCCGCAGAGAGCACCATGCTGTTCTGTAACACAAGCCAAGAAAAAGGCAGAGCTCTGGTCTTGCAGTTACTTTAACACAGCTTTAGAGAAATTAAAATTGCACAGTCAATTTTATATTAAAGCTACAGGTGCAAAGCATTTTTACTTAGGTAGAGTCCTTTTATTCACCTGGCTGGCTGATATATATGTAGTGAGGTTTAAGTTAGTCTTTGCAGTATGCACTAAAAGAATCGGGAGCTGAAACTGAAAACTGCGAGAAAATTCTATTCCCTTTCAAGTTCAATGCAGAAATCTCAACCCAAACAAGCCAGTTGTATCAAGGAGAGTATTATGCCAACTTCTAAAGATGATGTCACTGACAAAAAAGTGTTGTGAAATGTTTACAGGAACCAAGGGTGGATTCTCAAAGCAGAGGAACCCTCCTTCAGGATAAGCACTGCCAGGGTGGTTTTCCTACCATGAACTGCCAGTCCAAACTTGTTCAAACCACACCCACTTCTTGCCTTAAATACCAATCCAAAGAAATTTTGCTTTATCCTGTACTTTGTGTAAGGATCACTGTCTTTTGCATGCCACAGTCTTGGGATTGCTGTTACATTTTAATATATAACCGATGACACTATAGTCACCAGTAATTGATCTGAATTATCTGGTGATAAATTATTGATCTAATTATCTGGTGATAAATTCTAAAGGTCCACAACCTACAACCTGTTTCTGAGACATGTTTTAGAGATCTTCAGGCCACCTACCCGTGAATGAGAGTTATAAGTGACACTTTCTAAAGAACCAGAACTGCACAGCCCTACTACCACTCAAGCTGGGCCTGTACCACCATGTGAGTAAAAGAAGCCATTGCTTCAGGAAACTCACAGGACTTCTCCAAAAGTTTGCTATCACAGGGGAAAAAAACCAGTCATGAAGTACAGACACTGAAATCCACAAAAAGAGAGGGGCACTTTCAGACCTGATTTCCTGGCTAAAGGAAGAATTGCAGTCACTTGCATGTAGGCTGCAGGAGCATATGTAAAGGCAAGCAGCAGGGCAGTGGGTGCTAACCACTGACTGTGGTGTAAAAAAGGAATGACATGCTTTAGTAAAAAAGAAACTCAGTCAGGAACCATCTATTTCTGTCTGACTCCTGACAACTGACTCTTATCTTCATTTCTTAGGAAAGATTACTGAAAAAACCTGATTTGCAACAGTCAAAGCATGTGTCACAGTGACCAGCTTCTTTGGTCAAGCTACTGAATTCAGTCTGGACATAACTTGTCTGGGTCCAGTTTCTGATGAATCCAAAAGCACTAATTTAGAAATCAGCATACTTTTATATCTGTACTGCAAATATCTTTCTGCCTCAGCTGTGAAAATTGATGACATTCATGGTGCAGTGCTCCCGGTGTCACTTAGAAAAATTCCTTTTGGGGATTAAAAATTATTCACGTTATTCAATTCCTCCTTAATTTCAGATTCTCACAACTCATTTCTCCAAGTGAGCACGCGTTATTTGGACTCAGAAGCATATGCCAGGCATCACCCGGCACCCATACATCTACCCTATCTGTCAAGAGGCTACAAACCAACAGAGGCACCCGAGAAGACACTGGGGCAAGCAGGCGGCGGCCCGCAGCCCTCAGGCTGGCACGGCTCTCCCTTTGCCGTCACACACCCATCAGCTCGGAGCCCCCGGGGCGCGGGGGATGCCCCGGAGCGGCGCCGAGCGCCTTCCCGCGGGCTGCGGCCGCCTCCGCGCCCCGGGCGCCGCTAGCCAAGGCTGCGCAGCCCGCGGGACTGCCCTGCGCCCCGCGGTGCTACAGCGGCACACGGGCCGAGGGGCGCAGCCGGCGCCGTGCCGAGCCGCGGAGGGCCCGGGGCGGCGGCGGGGCCGGTACCTCGCTGAGCGCGAAGAGCCCGTAGGCCGCCAGCCAGACGGCGGAGGTGACGGCGCTGAGCGAGCGCAGCTGCAGGCGGGGGCCGCGCACCGCCAGCTCCCGGCAGGACGCGCTGTGCTGGCGCCGCCGCAGCGCGATCGGCACCCCGGCGGCCGAGAGGAAGCGGCGCTGCTCCGCCATGCCGGGCAGGCGGGGCCCGGCCGCCCTCCCGCGGGAGGAGCCTGGGCCGGCCGCAGCTCTGCCCGCTCCGCCCGCTCCGCCCGCCCGGCTCCTGCTCGGCCGCGGGGTGGTGCTGCCGCTGGGCTGTCTCGCTCGGTTGTACCTGGCCGGGAGTCTGTCCGTAATCTCGATTACATCAGCGCTTTCTGCGGTTTGCACATGTTGATAATCTGTTGCCTGCTTCCTCTGTTTATGGAGTGTGAGTGTTAAAGGGCACACGGGTTAGTGGTGCTGCACGTGTCTCTTGGCGTGATGAAGAGACTGGGGTTTTCATGGAATCATAGACTGTTAATGTTAAGGGACTGGAATGAAACTTAAAGATCATTTGGTTCTACACCACCCGCCTTGGAAAAGGACACTTCACGCTAGACTAGGTTGCTCAAGGCCTTATCCAACCTTGCTTTGAACACTGCCAGGATTGGAGCATCCACAACCTCCTTGGGCAACCTGGTCCACTGTCTCGCCACATGCAAAGGAAAACATTTCTAATATCAAACCTAAACTTACCCTTTTTCCATTACTCCTAGTCCTATCACTACAATTCCTGATGGAAAGACCCTCTCTGGCTTCCCAGAAGGCCCCTTTAGATACTGGAAGGTTTCTATGAGTTCTCCATGCAACCTTCTCTACTCAAGAAGGTTCTCTTTCCTCCCTTTGTCCTTACCATCGGCGACTACATTAATGGATTTTCTCATCTGTACCATGCTTAGCTAGCTACAAGCTCTTTTGATTTTTTTCCCCCAAGGTTTAAAGCAGAGTTTTCTGGTCCCTTGCCACTAAATACGTGATAAATTGGAGACTTGGCTTTGCACACAGAGACTTAATGGATCTTTGTATTGTGTTCCCTTTAATGCATTTCAGTTGTTAATTCATGCGATTGACATAGCAGTAATATAAAACTACAGCTCTGTGACTTCGTGACAGCTCTGTGACTACGTGGCAGTAATATAAAACTACAGCTCTGTGACTTCCAAACTGCCATCCTGATTTCTTTGGCCTTTCTATTTTTTCCCTTCTCCCACAGTTTTTGAGTGTTAGCTTTAATTGCAGGTGCCATCTTTCTGTGAGCAATGTACTTCATGCATGGCATCCTCAGAGCTCTTGGGTGGATACTGTATGTACAAAAAAACTGTTAACTTGTTCTCACAGGGGCGCCAAAGAAGTCTTAAGGGACATGAAAAACCAAGGGGCATCAGGGAATCACTACTGAGGTCTTTGCTTTGCCTGGAGGAGTGGTTGATGGCTGCCATCCATGGGAAGTTTTGTGCAGTATGTCCAGGATCTCACTATTACACAAGAGACCAGGTGGAGGAATGAGCTTTCCTCTTTCTCTGAAGAGGAAAGGTGAGTGGCCTGGAGGGGAAAAAAGTAACAGCAGACAATGAACTGCAGAAATGGAGAAGAATATACTGAAGTTCAAAAGAGGGTGAAAGAAGTTCATTGATGAAGTGAAAGTGGAAAAAAAACAATAAATTGAAAACAGGCTTTTAAAAGAGGGAAGAAAGGTTTGAAATGGATAGGTGAGAAGGACTGAAGCATGTAAGCAGGAGTTATGACAGCTGGTATGACAGCTTCAGCGGTGGGGACAGGAAGAAGGGGAAAGAAAAATCAGAGTAGGTGGTAGAAGAGGTAAAAGCACTGTGAACAGCCAGGTCAGTAAACAGGACAGAAAATAAACATAATCTCCTGGAGGAGTGTTAACAATAATTCACATTCACAACAAGACACGAAGGAGTTATTGACATACAGAGATAGGAGGAGAACTAGGAAATCTTAGGAGGAAAAAGCAAAAGTATGCTTGGATTTTTTAATATGTGTCACTGGCAAGTCCCTGTTTAACCATGTTTGTGCTCTGTTATCTCATGAACTGTCAGCCTTCTTTCAAGCTTGTAGATAAAGACTGGACATTCGACAGTGGGAGTCCTGTTGCCTTGTCACAGCAGGGAAAGGTGGGGACTCCCACATCTTTTTAAATCATTTGTTAATCAGCCTTCAAATGTGCCTCAAATACGAACAGCTGGAGACCCGAGAATAGTCTAGCCACGATGCTTTGAGATCAATATTCGAGGCAGGTGCTGGACAGATGGTCCTTCAATGCTTTATTAAGGTCATCTGGTGATGAGCGTCACCCGTTTTCCTTCGGGGAAGCCACGGAGCAGCGCTCCTGCAGGGAGGCTCCCGGAGCGGCCAGCCAGGGAGCCGAGCTGAGCTGCAGGAGCGTGTGGCTCACACACAGAGGGGACCTACACGTGTCAGAGAGAAAGAGCACCTTATCGCCGGTCTGAGGCGCTGCTCGTTCTCCGAGCCCCCGTCCGGCGGGGCGGCCTGCGGGGGTGCGGCGGCGGCGGAGGGGCGGCTGCAGTGGAAAAACCCCGGGCGGGCGTGAGGGGAGCGGGGGGGGGGGGGGGGGGGACACACCTCCGTGCGCGCGCGCTGCCGTTGGCCGGCGGCGCGGGGGCGGCGCGCGGCGCTAAAGAGAGCGGGGCGCGAGCGGCGCGCGGCAGCACCGCCCCGCCATGGCCCTGCGCGGGTCCCTCGCCCGCCTGCTCCGCGCCCAGCCCGACGCCGCGCTCCGGCCGCGCCGCGGGGCGCACTCCGTGGCGCTGGTGGGAGCCCCGCTCTCCAGGGGCCAGGTGGGATCGCGGGGATGCGTCGGGCGCCGCGCTCGCCCGGCTCCGCTTCCCCGGCGGGGCTTGCGTACCTGGCTGCGGGCAGCGCTGTCTGACGCGTTCCCCTCTCTTTGTCTCGCAGAAACGGCGGGGAGTGGACCACGGCCCCGCTACCCTCCGCGCCGCGGGGCTGGTGGAGCGGCTGGCCGGGCTCGGTGAGCACAGCGCGGCGGGCGGGGGTGGCGGCGGGGTCTGCGGGGCCGCCCGCGCCCCCTCCCCTCTGAGGGCAGCGTGACTCAGCCGCTCGCTGCGGGCGGGGGGAGACGGCTCCTGCCTCCGGTGGCTCACGGAGCACACCGTGCCCCGGCGCCGGCGGTGCCCGCAGCCTTGCGGAGGTGTCGGGAGGGAGAATGCTCGTCGCATGCCGCACCGGGCGGACCGCACCGGGCCCTGCGGGCACCCCGGAACAAAGAGCGGCCGGTGGTCCCGGCTCCCCGGCTGCCCAGAACAGCGGGACGCAGCCGCGCCGGCACAGCGGCACACGGAGCGTGTGCTGCTCCCGCGCTGACTGCCGGGGAGCGAGCGGCCGCCCGAACCGCTGTGCGCGCTCCTGGCATCCAGAGATGTAACTGTGATCTTCGGGTTATCACATAGTGTGGGCTTTGCCTTATCTTTTATCTTCAGTGTTCGTTACCAGTTTGTTCCTAAAAGATTCGTATGCTTCCAGGTGATGAAATTCAGAATTTTCTGGAGAAATCGTCAGTTTTATATAAGAGGTCTTGTGTGAAGTCTTTGAAAACGCTTGCAAATATCACCCTGTGAACGGGCTGTTTCTGGTCTTTTTGTGCAAGCAAATCCATGCGCTTATTTGTGACTCAGCTTCTCACATCTATTCCATCCACAAGCTGCAGAAAGGTGTACCACATTTGCCAGAAACAGGACACGAGGAATAGAAATTTGTAAAGCTGAAATGTGTCTTGGAGAATCTTTAATCTAAAGAGTGTTACTGAAAATGGTGTGATGAGGATGGATTGTTGGGATGTACCACAGAAAGAACCAATATCTGCTCCCTGGGTGGTTAGTGTCAATGGAGTTTAGATGCACAGAGAGATAATTGCCTAATAACCCTCTAGCAATTTTATTCTGAATTGTAAGAACGGTTCTAAACAGAAGTAATTGTTCTTTGCAGCCCTGTAGGCTTATCCTGCATATCTTATGATTCACAAGCTGAAAAGTCCCTGTTGGCAGCCAAATGCGTAGATACTCTTTTCCTTGCTTGTTTTGTGCAAAACAGAGATTGCCGTTGTTGGCAATACTTGAATTCTAGTGAGAATGAGCTATAATTTCAGCAAGTGTGGAAGAGGGCATCTAAAAGAGGTTCTTTGTACTGGAATAGTTATTTAGTCTAAAGTTTATCTGAAATTAATAAAATGCTAGGTTTGAAAGGAGGATGCTCTTCTAAATAGCGCTGTAGGCAGCAGATTACTTAGTATCAATAACAGAATTTTATGCTGGAAGTCTCAGGGTTCTCTTTCAAATGGTTCAGAGCTAATGTTTCCACTTTGAAGGAATTCTTTGAGGAAAAGCTCAAACCCACAAAACCCAACAAAATTAAAAACTGGAAGAAAAAACCCTCTTATTTGCCTGACACAAGCTCACTTCAATAGGAGCTTGCAGAAGGTAGAAAGAAAGGGAAATTTGAGCCCTTTTGGATTCCAGTATCAAAATGTTATGGGGATAGAACTGAAGCAAGCTAAACTAAATTTAAAAAAATACTTTCACTGCTTAGTTTCTTTTAAGTTGTTTACTCATCAATTAGTTATGCACATGTGATAGTAAAAGGGTTTCAAAGTCATGGGGATTTAGGGTTAAAAGGAAAATTAAGCTTAGTAGGCCCTGGAAAAATAAATACCCTAGGTACATGAAGGCCTTGTACCTTGCTAAAACTGCACCTGTGTAGCTAGTGCATGATAAATGATATAATTGTTAGATGTGATGGTTGTTTAGTAATTAAATATAATTACTGCTTAATTGTAAGAATAATCATGAGAAACTGTGGTCAGGGGCCTAAGAAAGATCATGAGAAACTGATGTCAATGCATACAATAGAACAATATAAGTTTAATAATTAATATGTAAGTTATATAACGATAGAATATAAAATACGTTCAGCTCGAAAGCCATATTGGAGTCAGATTTGGGTCTGTACCCCTGACTCCCAGAGCTCTCAATAAAAGCACCTGCATATAATCATATCCCGTGATTATGTGTAAAAAAATATGAGATATTTTCTTGCTGGTTGTGGGAATCCAGGGCTTCCCTTCTGGCTCCTTGGAAGGCCTGGGACCCTGGCAGCAGGTCAGGAACACCCCTGAGCAGAGCCCTGAGAGACA